TCGATGAGCAACATCTTCCTCAATCTTTCCTTTCTCATGGATTATTGACCCAAAAAACTGGAAAATAATCTCTTTTAAACATTTCTTGGCCATCAATCTTACTCCTCATCTCAGTTACACTCATTCTATAGATCTGTGGTTTCTTGACCGCCCAATATTCCATCCCATAAAACATGACTGGTCTTACAACCATTCTATAGAACTTCCCCTTTTAGTTTCATTGGTATGCGAAGATCATAGACTCTAGTCATTGATATGCGAAGACCATAGACTCCAGAAGGACATCACTTTATCCACTCAACTTTAATTCGATGAGCAACATCTTCCTCAATCTTTCCTTTCTCATGGATTATTGACCCAAAAAATGGAAAATAATCTCTTTTAAACATTTCTTGGCCATCAATCTTAATTTTTTTTGAGAAATATTAACTAATTCCTTGTTTTTGCTCCTATTATTATTAAACTTCATCAACGTCAAAGCATTTTCCCAACCGATCATTGTTAAATTATTATTGAACTTGCATTCTATAAATTTGTTTTAGTTTAATTAATTTTGAAACCTTTAGATTCTAAAGCATCCTTCAAAAATTCTAACTTTGCATATATGCTGTTTCTATGTCTTTACTCACTATTTTCATCTATGTCCTTTAGGGCCTTCCCCTTACCCTTTTAGAGCCTTTCACTTGAACTAAATCACCCTCCTAACCTGTACTGTTTTAAGTCAACACTGCACATGACTAGAGTCTATTGACCACTTAAGTCTACTTTCCCTCATTTTATCACCTATTGGAGCTACCCCTAAGTTCTCTCGAATGTATTCATTCCAAATTCTGTCGTTCATTGTCTTGCTCCTCATCTATGTCAACATCCTCATCTCAGTTACACTCATTCTATAGATATGTTGTTTCTCGATAGCCATATGCCATCCCATAAAGCATGACTGATCTTACGACCATCCCATAGAAACAATCATATAAGACTCCAAAAGCATATCACTTTGTCCACTTAACTTTAATTCTATGAGCAACATCTTCCTCAATCTCTTTTTTCTCATGGATTATTTGACCCAAGAATTCGAAAATCATCTCTTTTAAATACTTCTTGGCCATCAATCTTAACTAATTCCTCTTTTTTTTTTTGAGAAATATTAACTAATTCCTTTTTTTTTCTCTTATTAGTATAAAATTTGTATTCTATATATTCTGTCTGGTCCAACTAATTTTTAAAACCTTTAGATTCTAAAGTATCCTCCAAAGTTCTAATTTTGCATATACAATGTCTCTAGTCTTATCAATAAAAAATATGTTATCCGCAAACAATATATACCATAGGATCTCATCTTGTGGGTATCTAGCTAACTTGTTCATAACCAAGCAAAGAGGTATGGACTAATGCCCACCCCTGATGTAGGCCTATTGTCACCGAAAACTTACTTTTTTCTCCACTAGTTAGTATCATATTAATTAGTTCTCCCTTGTTCATATCTTTAACCATGTCAATATATCCTCTTGGGACTCCTATCTTTTCCAGCACCCATTAAATTATCCCGCTAGATACCTAATTGTATGTTTTCTCAAAATCAATAAAAACCATGTGGATGTCGTTTCACTTCTCCTTAAACTTCTCAATCAATTGCCTAAGTAGGAAAATAGTTTCAAATGGTTAGCCTCCCTGGCATAAATCAGAATGGATTTTTTGATATACTTGTACATGTTGTAGTCGTTGCTCAATCCCTCTCTCTTATAGTTTTATATTGTGCTTGATAAGTTTGATCCCTCGATATTTCATGCAACTCTGTATGCCTTCTTTGTTCTTGTAAATAGGTACGACAATATTTCTTCATTATTCATCTGACACTTTGAATAGCTTGGTCAACCAGAATATGCTAATCTCTCTCATATAGTTCCAAACCCCTTTTGATGTACCATCTGGTCCAAAGCCTTTCCTATCTTTGTCTTTCTCAAAGCTTCATTCACTCAAGATATCCTAATGTACGAAAGCATTTATGATCTCCGACTTCATTTATGTCAATGGTTCCTCCTAAAGTTGAACTCCTAAAATAGTCGTTGTTTAACAATTTTTGAAAATAGATTCTCCACCTTTCATTGACCTCGTCATCCTTCACCATCACGCAATGATCCTCAGTCTTAATGCATATAACATGATTTAGGCCTTTTGTACTTTCTTTATTTCATTTTTGCTAGTTTGAAGATATCTTTTTCACCTTCTCTTATCCCCAATGTGTTATATAGATCATCATATGCCTTAAGCTTAGCTTACTTTATTCTAAGCGTTCCTCTTGCATTTCTATATTCTTCTAAATTCTGATCATTTTTGTTCCCTTGCTAAGCTTTATAACTATAATCGTTTTTCGCTTATAGCCTTTTGAACTTTATCATTCTACCTCCAAGTTTCTTTATCAGAAAGTTAATTCCCTCTAGATTCTCCTAAAACTTCTTTTGCCACTTTTTTTTTTATATAATCAACCATCTCATGCTACGGAACATTATCCTCGTCATTAGAATTCCATTTTCCTTCTTTCATCAATGTATTCCTTAATAAGTCTAGTTTCTCTCTTTTTAAGTTTCATCGCTTAGTTCTTGGACACCCATTTATGTCACTCGTCTTCCATCTCTTAATGCAAACATCCATAACCATGAGCCTAAGTTGTGTGGTCAAACTCTTCCCTATTATAACCTTACAATCTTTATATGATGATCATTCAGTCTTCTTAACTAGAAACAAAGTGTATCTGACTTTTATACGATCCACTTTTGCATGTTATTAAATGTTCATACCACTTTTTAAATTAGGTCTTTGCTATTGTTAGATCATAAGCCATAACAAAATCAAGAGTAGCATTATCCATCCCATTACTTTTCCCCAACCCATATCCTCCATGTACCCTCATATTCTTTACTATATTTTCGTACATGACTATTGGAATCCCCTCCTAAAATTGGCCTCACGCATTTGGTGTTCCTTGGACTAGTCCATCCATGTTTTCCCAAAATTGTTTTTCAATTTTGTCCTCTAATCCTACTTGTGGAGCATAAGCACTAATTGCATTATCACATCTCTTAACACAAGTTTAATTAATAATAGCCTATCACCTATTCTTTAAACATCTTTAATACTTTATCTTTTAAATCTTTATCTACCATCATACCTGCGTCATTTCTTTTATTATTCTTCACATATACCAAAGTTTATATCCATCAATGTCCTTAGCTTTTACCCATTTCCACTTAGTTTCCTATATACAAGCTATACTAACTCTCTCTAGTCTCATTGTATTCACTAACTCAATTCTCTTACCTGATAGAGTTCCTATATTCCATGTGGCCAGATGAATTGTATTTGTTCGGACTGGCTTCTTTACTCGCACTCGTCCAATATGGCACAGTAACCCTTGCCTACTTATTCGTGCAACTGGGAGTCGTTGCGGTGTGTCGCTTCCAGGGAATGCCCTAGCTAACCCTTGCTCATGTCTCATTGCATGCGGTGCTGGTTGAGCATTTCTCATTTCTCATTGCATGCGGGTGTGTCGCTTCCAAGGAATGCCCTAGCTAACCCTTGCTCATTTCTCATTGCATGCGGGTGCTGGTTTAGCATGTTGCTTACAGGGAATGCCCTTGCATAAGCATATAACGTTGGATCAAGATTTATGAAAGGATGTAGCTAAAGTTTTCCGTTGGTTGCTAACCTAACACAACCTTCATCCTTTCTGATCTTGGGACCGGCAATGGCAGAATTATATTTTACATATAAATAAAATAGTAAAAAGAAAAAATAAAGTTTATTATGTATAGTCCACGTATTGGCTTCTAATATCTACAACCTTTACATTTGTGACGTTCATCTTGTCAATGACCAGTCCAAATCAAGCTATGGTTGCTTGATCTGCACTGGCTCTAGGAATTGACGGTATGGATGTCCCTAGTGCATAATGTCGTCAGCATTTTTACCCTTATTTTAAATCTAAGGCATGCATGCTTGATCACAATGTGTGTAGGGGTGTGTGTGTGTGTGTCAGAGAGAGAGAGAGAGAGAGAGATAGAGAGGAGGGAAGATTTTTACCCGCTTCTAGAGAGAGATGAAAAGGGTGAGAGATGAAAAATGGAGGGCAGATTTTTGCTTGCTTCTTGAGAGAGATTAAAAGAGAGAAAGAAAAATGGAGGGCAGGTATTTGCTTGCTTCTATAGAGATGAATATGGGGCGGATTCCACTCCCTTTTTAGGGAAAGGAATGAGAAAATGGAGCAGATTTCTGCCTTCTTTTAGAGAGCGAGAGATGAGAAAAGGGGGTAGATTTCTGCCTACCATTTTTGGGAGAGAGAGAGAGAGAGAGAGATGAACTAAGGAGGGCAGTGCTCCCTGTTTGCATTAATAGTACTCAGGCTAGTCCACACGGTTTTGACCCGAATACTGTACAGGTTCCCATGTACCTGAATGGGTACATGGGATCTTCTCTCAGCTACTAGCCGAGACCGAGACCGAGACCGAGGCCAAGTCCAAGTGGATTTGGCCCAGTTTTCGAGCACTGTATGTACATAGCCAATATTTTTGTAAGTTTTAGTGGATTACATTCTCATATTAGAAGCACAAATATCAGAGCATCTACATTCTCATATTGGAAGCGCAAATACGATGCTTTGATATTCTTTTCATAAGTGATCTTCTTCAGGAATGTTGTCCTTCCAAATTAGTTGATGCATGAACGTCTTCATATAAAAAACATGGGTCGACTTCTTCCTGTATGTGTTCATTGTGAGTATTTTATTCATTGTCAAATGTTGCTGTTCAGTTCTTGATCTTGTTGACTTGTATAAGTACTGGCTTTTTTTCTTCTATAGTATTCCAAGTAGATGGTGGATGAGACATGTATTCATAGCTCATATAACTTGTTTTCTTCATTTAGTCAGGAAAGCTTGCAACAACAATCCGTAGGCCAAAACAATATTGCCATGGACTTAATTAATAATGTCACTGGAGTGGATGAAGAAGGCCGTTCTCGCCAGCGCATACTTTCTTTTGCTGCAAAACGGTACGATAATACTTATAGTTCCTCCTTTTGTGATTCAGTTCTAAAATTGCCTTGAGGAAGTTGATGCTTCTTGTCATTTGTTTTCTTTGCTCTAGTTTGTTGTGTGGGATATTTTATTGTCAGCATGAGCTAGTTTGGAATGCATCGGTTTTCTCAACTTTCCTTTGGCGCTTGCTTCAAGTTCTTTGTGGAGAGAGACACTTTAGCACTTCCATTTCCTCATGGAAAAGCACCTCTAGAAGGCTCCTCCACTTCTTGTGAAGAACAACTTTTGGTAAAAATGTCAAAACTAAAAGATTGACATTTGACAATTGAAAAGATCATGTTCATATGTGCCGCGGTGCAACTCAACCACTCAATTATTCACATTTCACTGCAAAAAAAAAGTTCCTTAAATCTAGAATGATGCTTACTAGTCTTGCTCAGTAGGCTAAAAAGTTTCATGGTTCGTTGATTTCACTGTAAATCTATGTATTGAATAAAGAGAGATTCAATGTTCAATGACGTTTGATTTGGTTCTTAAACCTTTAAGAGGGAAATTAATCCTAAGATGGCATAATGAACTATTGTCCGATTAGAAAAGGAATTGTTAGATTCATAATGGAGCACTAACTGAGAAAATATATTATTATCTTTACTAGTTGGATTCACTACTTAAGGCTAACGCTAGATTAGTGCAGCACCAAAATCTTTATTGGTGTAGAGGGTCACTGCAAGGATTTCGTCTTTGATGGTGTTTTGAATGTTTTTGTGGCTCCAGATTTTTCAAATATGATATTCTTTTTTCATTTGTGCAGGTATGCAAGTGCTATAGAGAGAAACCCGGAGGACTATGATGCACTTTACAATTGGGCATTGGTTCTTCAGGTTTTTATTCAGTAACTAAGTTCATTATACAATAATGTTGATACTGAAGTTTATATTACTGCCACTGTTTCTACTGCAAGGATCCCTTCAATATGCTTCTTGGATATTATATATTAATAATTGTTTTGTAAATGAAGGGTTATGTGAAGGAACAACTGTGGGAGATCGCTATTCCTGTCACTAGAAGTATGAGAGGCTTGACCTAGGTGATAAAGGTCACTACTTTAAAAAAATGTTTCCAGCAAAAACAGATAGAGTACCTTTTAGTAATCCACCTGTATCTTCCTGGTCTTACGTGTGCCCACTCTGAAATTTTACATGAGGAAACTAAACTCAAAACCAAAGATTTGTTTTGGGTGAATCAGTGGGACAAAGAAGAGACATACAGATTACACCAGGAAAAATTGCAGCTACATCCCCTTGATGGTACTCCAAAAAGAGTCAAATCTGCAGAAAAACTAGTAAACCAGAATTTATCTAGGTTCACCCCATAGGACTTTCGTACGCCCCCTTGTAATCCCTGGACCGATGGCACACTTTCAAGAAACATGTTCCCTTCTTTCCACTATGTCATGTAGAGTTAGGACCATAGTTACTTGGAGCGGGAATAGGGGTGGGGGCAGGTGTGATGGATCGACACATACAGGAAGCTCCCTAGGTCGGGAGTGCATTTTGTACAATGTTTACTTAATAAATAATTTTAAATAAAAGTTTTATTAAAAAATAAAAAATCTAATAATCCCACAAAAATACAATAAAAAATGGGCACGCAAAAATAAAAAACTAATTATTTATTTATTGAATTCTATTCAATTAATAAATCATATTTTTATATTCCTTTGAGGTGCAGTTTATGATGAGGCATGTTGGAATAACCAATAACTAATGTTTTATAAATCCGGCAAGTCAAAATGAACTAGCCCAGTTAGCCAAGTAACTCTGGATCTGTAAGTTGCCTTGCCCGAGTGCACCCCGGACTTGGGGGTGAAAAACCAATACATAACTTATACTAATATAGTTGTAGTCAGTTAAAAATTGATTCAATCTTTTGATTAAGTCAATTATATTGAGTCTTGTTTATACCTTTTAGGGTCTTATATTTTGTAGATATTTTCCTATTTTCTCTGTATTTTCTTATTTTTAGAGGAAAAATCTTTAAACAATTTTCATTTTCTCTTATGTTTTGAAAACCTTTTCTCATCTTTTATAAACATCTTCTCTTGTTTGTCACTTTCTTTGGTTTTTTGTCACTGATCCTAAAACCTTAGGAGGTTGCCTGCCCCACTCTTTCTTCCTTGCAAAGCACTTGAAGACATGCCCCTAGGCCCTCCACGGATGCCTAGAATTTGGCCCATGGGAAGCACTTGTTTCAAATAGGTTATGGGGTCTCTATTTATAGGCTTTTCTAAGGTTAGAGTGGATATAATGGGAACTTAACTTCTAATTTTGTTTTGAGAATGTTAAATATAAATATTATAATAACAAAAGTAAGGGTCGAGGTAACCCACATACTGGGTCTCTTAACCAAAAATTGGTCACTAGGGAGTGACCTATTCTAGAAGACTGGCTCTAACATCACCAGTGAAGCAAAAGATAGGGGCTTATATAATCTGCTCATTACAAGATAGAAGGCTACAATCTAGACAGAGGAGGCCTCCCCGCTGTGCTTATGATATAGGACTCCCTGTTGTGTGCATCTAAACGTGTGCAGAAGGCTGGTTCCGAGCGGCTTCCTTGGCGAGACGATCTGTGAAGTTATTGGACGTCCTCCAAATATGCGTCCATGAGACGTTTATACCTCTGCAAGTATGCTCAATTTCATCAAAAATGTGTGCTAGGTACCAAGGAGGAGGGGCCTTTCTAGCAGCCTAGGATATAATGTTTTTGACATCTCCCTCTATGTGTAGCCGTGGGCCCTAGTGAGGGTTACATTTCTTGGTTCCCATCAGCAGGGCCATGGCCTCTGCGAACTGTGAGTCTTTGTGACCAAGGTGTTCTGAGAAGGAGAGATAACTTCACCGTTATGGTCACAGAAGACTCCTCCTACGCGTGCTAGGCTTGGATCTCCAAAGGAGCATCCATCAAAATCGAACATAATATCAACCACCGGGGGGGAGTCCAGTGCGATACTCTTGGGTTGTAGTGAGGGGTTAGTCGAATAAAGTTGACCCGGTTACGAAGGAAACTAGCCACCGAAATCCCATTGAATAGATTGTGGTTAGAAGCCCAAAACATTACCATCGAAGTAACCTTGTGGAACAGAGCTGTGAGTTTGCTTTCGATACCACTGAAAATTCTTGAATTTCTTTCTAGCCAGATGGTCCACGACGTTGCAACTAAAGAGGTTTTCTAGAGGATCCTGCCCTACTTTGGCCAGTTAGATTCGAAGGAGCAGGAAGTCAACGATGGAATTGAAGGGGTGGTAACCTAAGATATTCCAAAAAGTTGTATAATTCTACTCCAAAGTTGAAGGGCAATCTGACAGTGAATGAGCAAGTGGGGGTTTATTTCTTTCTCGCATAGGCACATGACGCACCTATTAGGACTTTGGACACCTCTTCTCTGGAGTGCGTCTATAGTAAGTGCGCGTGAAAGGCTTGCAGTTTTGGAGGGCCTATGGATGACCAAACTTTGGAGAGCGCCGGGTTCGGGTTTAGGGGGAAAGAAAGCTGCAGAAGTTTCTTGTAGAAGGAGGCCACCGTGAAGGAACCGGTAGGGGAGGGAGTCCAGACCAAGGTGTCTGTCCCTAAGAAGGCGAGGAAGGTGGAGTGGCAGGAATCCGAGAGGGACATAAACTCCAAGGTTTCTTCTTCTGTGAGTGGTCTCCTAAAGGATGGGTTCCAAACTCTGCGATTACCTGAAGGTACCATTTCCTCCGAGACCAGGAAGGCTTTGTTAACTACCATAGCGAATAGGGAGGGGAAGCATTCTCTAAGCGGGGTGTGGCCTAACCAGAAGTCTGACCAAAATCGCACTCTATCCCTGCCTCTAGCATGGAGTCGAATGAGTTGTTTAAACGGTCGAAGGGAGGAGAGTAACGATTTCCATATGCTTGAGCCCTTAGACATTGGATAACCCTCAGGCAGCCAAAGGTCTAGTGGGATACTATACTTGCTTCGGATGACCTGGGCCCACAGTTGGCAGTTCTGAGTGGCCAGTCCCCACCACCATTTACCTAAGAGCACTAAGTTTTGTGTTCTAAGCACTTTGATCCCTAGACCGCCCTGTTTTGAGAGGCATACTTTATCCCACGCAATCAGGTGGATCTTATTTGACGCCATTTCACCTGACCAGAGGAAGTTTCTTGTCAGTTGGTCTAGGCGTTTAGCAACTGCGGCTAGCATATGGAATAACGACATGAGGTATACGGCGGAGTTGGCTAGGGTAGCTTTGATAAGCGTTGTTCTCCCTGCAAAGGATAGGTAACTGCCTTTCCATCTTGCCAATCTTCGGTCTACTCTGTCAATTACATGAGACCACTGGGCTTTCTTTGGCTTCCCCAGTCCCAATGGAATGCCCAGGTACGATGTGGGCAGGTCCTCCACTTTACATTCCCAAGAAGATTTGACTTCTAAATCTAATGGGACATTCATGGTCTGAGATGGTTAGCTCTTACCATCCATCCATTCCTAACCATCATGAGTCAAGGGTAGATAATGCATCATTAGTCTTAGGAGGATTTCTAGATCCAAGATTTTTCTAGCCAAAGTTACCAGAATCTCTGACCCAAGGTCGCGATACTGATCCGAAATCCTGACTCCGCAATTCTTACAAGGAATCTTCACGAAATCCATTTATATGAAGTCAAGACTCTCGATTCCATCACTTACAAAACCTCGTTTCTAATATTTATTAATTTCAGATTTCTTAATTGTTGAATCTCGATTCTACATTTATTAGATATAGATTCCACATATAGTGATACTTGATTCGATTGTTTTCAAATCCATATTCCTGATCATCAAGTACTGGGGTTTGTAAATGCAAGAAACCACAAATTAATCGAACATCGTAAATCTTGGTTCCTTCCTCATGGAATCTCATCTGATGTTCGAATCCTATGAGATCAAATACTAATGTTCTAGGTGCGCAAATATGTGACTTATAGAGTTGTTCAAATATTTATGAATTTCGATTTGAGTTATTTGGAATACGGTTTAGAGACGATAGTCTCCCATAGTTCATACTCCGAGTAATATCTCAATGAATGCATTGTTGAAAGTATTGGGTTCATAAATCATGTTTTAAATGCGAACGTCTAGAGTTATGTTTTTAACCAATATAATTCCAATGTCTTTTGCAGGTAAAAAAGGCAAGTATAAGTTCTTTTGTAGCTAACAAAGGCAATTTGGGTGTTGGAGCATTAAAATTAAGAGAACTTAGGCCTTGCAACATTAAAAATTAAATACTCCACGTCTCCATCCCTGGTATCAAGAGCATATATTAAAACACAGACAAAACCATGGCACAAGTAAAATCCCATTTTGAACTACAAGAATGAATTCAAAATCACATTTTAAAAATATGTGAGATAATCTTTTGTACCTTTTGTAGACAATTTCCCTAAGTGGACTACGAGTGTGATGTAGGAGAACTTAAAGAAACCAAGGAAAATTAGCAAGAAGCACACAATTTTGGAGAAACCCTAGGGTTTACTCCCACTTAGGGTTCAATCCTCAGGCTTCTTTTACAAGACAAAGTCATTCTTTTCTTAAAGAGGAATACATCAATGACCAGTGATTCAAAAAGCGGACCGCCCAGCGCCTAGGTGGTCCAGAAGGCCTGGGCGCATTGCCCAGGCTTAGGCGGCAGTCCCTGGGCGGCGCGCCTAGGCGAGCGCCCCGCCTAGAGGCAGAAATTTATTTATTTTTGTATTGATATTTCTTTTTTAAAATATAAAGGGTTAGAAGGATGGTTTTAAGTTTACTTGAAACCTAAAACTTATTGGAGCCCATTTTAGAGAGAGAAAGCCTCCAAAAAACTAGTTTTTGGTGATTTCTTTAGGATCAAAGGGTGTCTTAAAGTTGACAAAAATTGATCAAAACATCACCCATTGATATTAGATTTAATTTTTTATTTTTATTTAATTTTTTATTTAATTTTTTTAGAAGATTTTGAGTCCTTAGAAGCATATTTGAGGTGGAAGTTTGAAGATTGAGATATCAAACTCAAAGTAAGTGCCCTAAATTCCTAATTTTTATTTTTTACACTATATATCTTTTTTTTATTCAAATGGGCATCCTTTTTGGATTCGACTGCGCCTCCCAGGTTTTGGGTGCCCGCCTATGTGCTGGGCGGCCTGGACCCCCCAAGCCGCTTAGGACCCGCCAAGCGCTTTTTGAAACACTGTCAATGACTCTCCCGGCCATCTATGCCCTTATTTATATTAAAAATTATTTTTTTGAACAATATTTGTCCACACAATTTAACTTTTGACCGAAAGGTCCTAACTTAAATATTACTTGAAACTAAATTCCCAAATTTTAATTAAAATATCTAAAAAGTCCCTAACTGGTCCAGCAATGAAATAAATTAATAAAAAACATCTAAAATAGCCTTAAAAACTAAAAAAACCAAAACTATTTTTTTCTCTTCTTGGAAGCCTTCCTAGGGTTTTCATCCTCCAAATATGAGCGAAAATTAGGAGGAATCTGTCGCTCCAAAGAAGATACTCGTGGCGACTTGTGCTCTGATCTCCATCATTCTCGAGGAGAATTCGCCCTCGAGTTCACATCTTTATCTTCCTACACCTCCATACCATGATACTCTGACAGATCAACAATGTTGAAGATGTCTGAAGTCTCCATGTGTGAAGGCAAAGAGACCTTGTAAGCATTGCTGCCCATCTTCTTCACAATCTTGAATGGTCTTGCGTTGCGATCATTCAGCTTGCTGTATTTTCCCACTGTATGTCGCTCCTTATTGAGATACACCAGTACCCAGTCTCCCATATTAAACTCTTTGAAATGACTATACTTGTCCACTGCTTCCTTGTATTTGGCTGTATTGGCTTCTAGAATAGCACACACTTATTCATGCACTCTTTTCATTTGTTCAACCAAGTCCTCAACAATAACATGACCCTCTCCATTCGCCGGGACAAGAACCAAGTCAAGCGAATGAGTATATGGGTTTTTCCCATATACCACTTCGAAAGGACTCTTACCAGTAGATCTATTGCAAACACTATTATAGGCAAACTCAGCTTGAGGCAGTGCTAGGTCCCACGGTTTTTTCTTTTCCCTCACAATACTTCTCAAAAGATTGTCAAGAGTACAATTTACCACTTCAGTCTGACCGTCTGTCTGTGGATGATAAGCGCTACTAAACTGTAACTAACTGCCCAATTTCTTTCACAAAGTTCCCCAAAAATGGCTGAGAAACTTCATATGCCGATCTGAAGTTATCGTCTTTGGAACACCATGCAACCTCACCTCCACTTTGAAGTACAAGTTAGCAGCATGTGTGGCATCCAGAGTCTTCTTGCAAGGTATAAAATGAGACATATTTGAGAATCTATCTACCACCACGAATACAAAATCCATACCTCTTTGAGTCCTTGGAAGTCCCAGAACAAATCCATGCTAACATCTTTCCAAGGTGCATTAAGAATAGGAAGTGGAGAATAAAGCCCGGTATTTTGTCGTTGCCCTTTTGCCAGTTGACACGAACGACACCTCTCAGCAAGTGCTACCACTTGATGTAGGAGAGCTTGAAGAAATCAAGAAAAATCAACAAGAAGCACACAATTTTGGAGAAACCCTAGGATTTACTCCTACCTGGGGTTCAATCTTTAGGCTTCTTTTACAAGACAAAGTCTTTCTTTTTTTGAAGAGGAATGCATCAATGACTCTCCAACCCATCCATGCCCTTATTTATAGTTAATAGACACTGTGATCTCCATCTGAGTGTCTATTAACTGACCTTACTTCTGATACTATATCTGAGTCTCAATAGTCAATACATTGACTTCAAATCTAAGGAACCGTTCTTCAGGTCTTAGAGGCCTATGATCTTGATTGCTTGATGAGGTTCTAAGTTTTTAAAGCGGGAGATATTATTGATTTAGGAATCTTCATTTTAAGAGGGTTGAAACTCGACCCATAGAGTTATAAATTTCTATTGACTGGTGGGTCAAAACCCGAACCCAAATTGATATCACCTCGATTCCAAATACATCAAAAATTCAATTTCAAAGATGGAATCTCGATTCCATATATGGACTTTCGATTCCATCTTGTGTTGATTCGAAATAGGTCAGAATCTTGATTCCAAAGAGGTTAGAATCTCGATTTCATCTATGTAGGGATCTCGATTCCATTTGGGTCGCATCTCGTTTCCTATAAAATAGGAATCTCATTTCGCGCAATTCTCCTTACACGAACGTCAATTCCGAAAATGAAAATCTTCTAGCTAGCCGCGCTTCTGCGATTCAGATGTCTAAAACGATTTGGATTCTCAGGTTTTTCCAACAACAATGTTCCCACCTTAGATCTAACTTCTAACCATCTAAGGTTGACTTTTCAAACTTGTAACAAACTTTGACTTTTCAACATCCTAGTCACCAGGGGAAATATTTAGAAAGTATCTTGTGAGATCTTTGGAATTAAACTACACTTTGAAGTCCAAACTTGAGTGATATGTACCTCCCATGAGAGAAAGGACTTCCCCATGCACGTTCCCTCATGTTTGAGTCCACGTGGGCCCGATGGCCAGTGGGCTCAAGGGGTCTCACGTGTGATTCGTGTAGTCCTCAAGTGGTCCACAAAAAGAGATCAGTAAATTTCCAAAAATTCAATAATACTCCGTGAAATTTACTTCTATAAAAAAAATTATTTAATTCTGAACATACCCTTACTTCGGAACATTTTTTAGTTCAAAAGTATCCTTGTTCTGAAACATATTTTGCTATACAAGTTAAGGTGACTAATTAGAGAAAATAAATCCTTATTTAATTTTCTCAATAAACTAGGAAAAACAACTTTAAAACCTTAGAAAAGTTTGCTAACATTGAAATTAGATCCTACTAAAGGCATTCCATGACTACCCTATGACCACATCTGGAGCCCAAACCAACTCAATAGACCTATAACCCACATGTATCCCATTTAAGGAGCACATTATTGGACTATCGAAGCAGGTTAAGCATAGAAGTTGTCATAGTCCACACGGAGCCAGAGCTTCCAGTTGCTCTCCTCAAGGATAAGGTTAGGGTGTGCACACAGACCAAAAAAACTTGTATAGGAGTTTCCAGGTTTCCTCGTGCGCGGGATCCTGTTTCAGGCACATGCATTCTAACTATCACACAAACCCAACAAAACTCTTAAAGATCATACAGGTCTGATGCAACCAGCAGCACAATGCTGAGGTGTTCAGGTCTTTGTCCTCATATCCATCCCACACCAAAGGAGCCTCTTTCATCTCTTGCCAATCAACTAGTACCCACCCTGGCTGGAGCTGACCTCAACAGAGTACCCGTATTAAGCATAACCAGTCTAGGGTGAGGGTTTACTCATCTAGCCAAGACCTAGTCACCCGCCAAGGTTAGAGTGATGAAGCCTACTATGTCCCAAAAATAGAGCTCAACTCCCTTATTCCTTCCCTTCTAAAATTACCCAAGTAGACCAGCACTCCTGCTTGAATTGAGAGTAATCCATAAACATAAAGCATTGGGACACATACATGGGGACTAAACCACAGAGCTTTAATCAAAGACAAGGGTATGGGCATTTAAAGGACCCAAACCTCAGCAAGAAGGAAAAGATTCAATCATCTTACCTTGAATCCTTGTCTTATAGAAAATAATTCTTTTCAATACTAGATATTGCATTCATGGATAGGTGTTCTCGTTTGTCAGGGAAAAATAGCAGAAATTATATATTACTTAAACAATTTCCTGCATGGACAGGGGATGCAAAAGCAATTTTGTTATATTTCCTCTTTTTTGGGGGGTTATGTTGGGATTCAATCTTTGGGCATTAGTGCTGCACCCTGACCACTAAATTAATAGGTGGAACCTTGATACTGGCCTCATTAATATGTTGATAATCAATGAAATTTTCTTACTACAGTTTGTGATATTGAAACTGATAATGCTGCATTGCATTTTGAAGTATGTAGGCATGCTTAGTGGTAAATTGGCAATTCACATCTTAACTTCATTTCTTTACTTCTATTTCAGGAAAGTGCTGATAATGTGGGTCCCGATTCAATTTCTCCTTCAAAAGATGCTTTGCTTGAAGAAGCTTGTAAAAAATATGATGAGGCTACTCGAATTTGCCCTACTCTTCATGATGTATGCTTTGATTTACAGTGCGTATTTCATTAAGCATATGATTTCCTTCTTGTACTCAAGTATTTTTTTGGTTCTTAAGCTAATTCTCTTTGTCAGGATTATCCAATACAGTACATTGTGGAGAATATCAGATTGATTCCTCTTCGATCAGTGTGCAAAAACTTGGCTCAGGCATGGGACTCTACCTGTGCCTGAGACGAGTAATTCCGGCGGATCTGAGTGGACTCGCTTGAGTCATGTACAAGCTCAGAAAAGGCTAAAGGATTGAAAAAAATTCCAAATTTTGTGTTAAACATAAAAAACACAAGTATAAAGCAAACTAAACTATAAATAACAATAGCAGTCTAAAAAAGATGGAAAAAGTGTATAAAATCCAATTTAGAACTGGAAGCAATTTAGAAAATCCAAAAAAGGGGAAAATAGAGAATGGAGAACATGATAAGAAAAACTCATAAATCATCATAAAAATATCAAAATTATTTATAAAACCTTTCTTTCTAGGGATAATCGAGTACAATACTCTATATAGGTTTTACTTTATATAAAGCATTTCTGGGCTACTACCTGACAAAAATACCCCCACTCTAATATCTATGTACAAGTACACCCATTATAGACATATATATACACATACATCAACTTACACATACCTAATCACTTTGTGAGCAACTATTACAGCCATAAACCATTTCTAATTTCCTTTGTATATTAGTGAGTTTCCTCTCTTTTCTAATCCTCATAGTCGAAAGAATTTTTGAGTTTCTTGGGCTTGGGTCTAGCCTTTTTATTTCCTTGCAGATTGGCGATGGCGAAGCTGACTCGATATGCTTAAACATTGATCTTGAACCGGTGTTTTGAAATACATGATTTCATGATATGTGGTGCTTTAAAGCATATGCTGATATAATACATGGTCACATGGAGCCTCACATGCATGTGAAACTAGACTTGCATGCTATGACATGTACATGTATATAGCATCATTACATACTAATAGGTGTGTGTATACATGTCCACTTTAAGTCAAAACATTGGAAGCTGTATTTGCATGAGTTTCTGCACTTGATTTTGGTGTGGTCTGAGGGGGCTTAAACTAACATAATCCTATAATCTGTGTGCATAACATTCGTCTAGGAGATGGCCTCCGATGAGACTACTGAAAGGTGGACTAGGTGACCGGGCAAGTCAATACCAATTAAAAATTTTCCTACTCTTTTATACGTATTGCCACCCCGATCACTTACAAGTGTCCAAAATACAATTTTGGCTTAATAAAATAGCCAAGACCTCTCCCTTGCATGTCATTAAAAGAAAATTACATTCATCATGTAGAACTGAAAATTTCATAAAGAAGCAATAGAAGCAACAAAAAACACGAAATGTGAAATATTACTGTGTACCTTGCCTCAGGTTACCCCCAAGGTCTTTTTACACCCCAAACCGGGTCTCCTCCACCGATGGCGTATGAGATCTTGATTCAAAAACACACCTCACAATTAGGGAAGCCTAAGAAAACCCTTAGAGTGCATCACATAGGATTTCCTTGACCAAGGCTCAACACATGAGCATGAGGCGAGGACCTAGGGCTAGGTTTTGGGTGGCTGAGGTGTGCCACCCCTTAGGGTTAAACTCTTTCCTAAACCCTAATTTAGAGAAAGAGAGATAGAGATAGATAAGAAATAGAACCCCTATAGCTAGTATTTATCGACAAGAGGCTAGGGTTTCTTGGGTTAGGGTTTTGCCATCATCATGAGGTTTAATCTTGACTTTTGATCTTGGAGACCTATGGGGTGTCAACCATTCATTTTCTAAATCAGCCATCATGATTAAAAGAACGATGTGGAACCTTATCCCTCAGTTACTCTAACTCAATTCCCATCAAATGTTATGTGCAAAGAAAGTAATCAATCAATCAAAGTTAATTTCTTACACATTCATATTTTGAAATCAATCACAATCAATTTCTTTCACCATCCTATTTTGAAATCAATCACAATTAATTTCTTACACCTTCCTATAAAAAAATCAATCAAAATCTCTGTACAAAAAGGCAAGGTTTCAAAAAACGCTAGGCGGCTTGCCTGGCACCGAGCGCCTAGCACCTAGGTAGGCGCCTAGAACCTCAGGCGCCCTGTGGTGCAAATTCTTAGCATTTTTTTATATATTTACTATCCAAATGCACATATATGCATATATTTGTGTCAAATTTTGTAATTTATTCCATTTGAAAATATCAGAAGTTCGCAACATACGTTTTTATATACAAACATATCACATATCTCAGGTTGAGAATAAACTTATTCAAAATTTCAAACCATACAAAACATTTAAAGGTCTAATATGCTATTGTAAGGTCTCCAACTCTCATATTCTCCATGTTCCATATCCATAAAATAAATCATAATAACATCCAAGTCTCCAAGTCTTCAACGTTTTAACGTCAATATGGAGAAGTCCAAAATGATGGGTATAGCAATTGCCGACAACCACATCAGAGAGCTTATACCCTCCTGGGGATGTAAAGTTGAAGACCTTGGCCTTCCTCTCGGGCTGGGCAATCCGAAGAAGAGGCATTGGTCCAATGTCATTGACAAGGTTGATAGAAGTTTGGCCGGATGGAAAGGGAGATTTCTTTCCCGAGCAGGAAGAACCACCCTCATCAAGGCTACCCTTGCCAATGCGCCTGTGTATCTCATGTCTATTTTTCAAATGCCCGCTTCAGTGGCCAACCGCCTTGATCAGCTTATGAGGAGCTTCCTTTGGTCAGGACAGGCTGACAAAACAAAGTTCCACCTCATTTCCTGGGACAAAGTTTCTTTATCCAAGAAATAGGGAGGATTGGGATTGTTGCGAAAGCAAAACCTCGTCCTACTAGGAAAATGGTGGTTGCGCTTGGTCACTCAAACTGAATCTCTATGGGCGAAGGTGCTTCGTAATAAGTACAGAATTCGTGACCACACCTGGGTATTTGAGCGAAGATCATGGTCCAATGCATTAGGAGCGTGGAGGTCCTTTCTCTCCTCTCTCGCCATGTCCAAGAAATTCATCAGGCTGCACCACAGAGAAGGCACAAGAGTATACTTTTGGTCTGACCTTTGGATAGGTCATTCACCATTGAGGGAATGCTACCCTTCTCTCTACGCATTAGCAACTAAGAGAGACTCCACAATAGACGATGAATTGATACCACAGGGAGGCAGAAGACGGTGGCAACCTTCATTTAGAAGGAACCTATCTGAGGAGGAAACAAATCAGTTCCAATCTCTTTCAGCTCTCTTGCACGGAACTTTTATTCTGGTCCATGGAATAGATAAGTTGGTGTGGTCCCTTGTCCCATCAGAAGAATTCACAGTGGCCTCTTTTTACAAAAAAGTCTCTCAACCTCTTACTTTCCCTCTGAACCCCACGTCGTTTCTCTCAGGTATGGCAAACTTTAGCACTTCCAAAGGTGCAAACTTTCAATTGGTTAGCTGCCTCCCTTAAGGCCCTAACTATTGATCACTTGCAAAGAAAAGGGATCCCTATCCCCAATGTGTTTGAGCGAGGAGGAGTCCGACAACCACCTCTTCCTCGTTTGTAAGGTTGCACACGACCTTTGGGGCTGCCTATTACAACTATTTGGTGTATACTGGGTGATACCACCAACGATCAAAGATTTGCTTGCTTTGAACCTTTCCTCACAATGGCCGAAGGCTGGGAATTTTTATGGAAGGCAACAATGGCCTCAACCATTTGCACGCTCTGGAAAGAAAGAAATGTCAGAATCTTTAGGGGACAAGTCACTTTGGGCGACAGCCTTAATAACCTTTTGGGTTGGAAGAATATCCTCCTACACAGACCAAAAAAGGAAAAGAAAATAGCGGCCACCTGGAAACCACCCCCTCTAGGAGTAGTCAAACTAAAATTTGATGGGTGCCCCTTGGGTAATCCAGGCCATGCTGGAATAGGAGTCGTCTTTCGAGATCACCAACACAATGTTTTTTTCACCTACTCAGAATACATAGGTGTGCTTGATTCACAGCATGCTGAATCTCTCGCGCTCCTCAAAGGCCTGCAAAGCTTCAACAGTTCATGGGGACAACATCTTATAGCAGAGGGAGATACCCAAAACATCGTCACTTGGGCCTCCAGGAAAGCTTACCCTCCCAGGTATCTTTTGCCTTTGTATGACGAGATTGAACATATTTGCAGGGATACGTCCGTCTCATGGATGTATACATCAAGGACGTCAAACGCCTTCACGGATCTCCTGGCGAAGGACGGAGCCAACGCCCATGAGGAAGACTAGGCTTGCTACACCTTTTTGCAGCGTGTGGGCCACTTACTAGGCTACATAATGTTTTGTTCTTTTTTGTAATTTGACAGTAGACTTTGTTAGGGGACAAAACTATAACCCCATTTTTGTATACTTGGAAAAGGGGCTTTCTTATAACCCCATTTTGTATAGGGAAGGAGGGCCTATTCTTTTTTGCAGAGACTCTCGTCAACCAGGGGACTCTCGTACTTACTCTGCACTATAACTCACTCTTTTTCAATAATACATTCGTTAACGTTTAAAAAAAAAAAAAAACTCTCCAAGTCTTCAACAAACTGACTTTCAAAAATATAAAAAACCAGTAAACCACTCAACAAAATAGTCCAAAAAGGCAAAAAAAGTATAAACCACATAACAAAATAAAAATAGTCCAAATGTTTAAAGCCCAAACCAAGATGGTGCAATAAAGTTACTACAAAAGAAGAGAGAAGACATCAATAAGAATCAGAGTCATCATATTCATTGCTTTCATTTGCATCAAAATTGAGGCCGTCATCATCAGAATCATCACCCTCTTCAACATATTCCTCTTCATCCAGAGATTCTTCTGAATCTGCCTACTCTTCCTCTATCTCCCTCCTTGAAGTACCAGCAGAAGAAGTTGCTCGAGTGGCCCTCTTAGGATCAGAAGCTTGCCCCTAAGCCTCCTCGACCATTTCCCATATCAAACCCTCCCCATGGAAGA